AAACTTTGCAATTTTATGAGGTCCCATTTGTCAATTCTTGATATTAGAGCATAAGCCATTGGTGTTCTGTTCAGGAACTTTTCCCCTGTGCCCAAGTATTCAAGGTTCTTTCCCACCTTCTTTTCTATTAGTTTCAGTGTATCTGGTTTTATGTGAAGGTCCTTTATCCATTTGGACTTGAGCTTTATACAAATAGGAAAGGAAGAAGTCAAAATATCACTATTTGCAGATGACATGATAGTACACTTAAGTGACCCCAGAACTTCCACCAGACAACTCCTAAACCTGATAAACAACTTCAGCAAAGTGGCTGGTTATAAAATCAACTCAAACAAATCAGTAGCCTTCCTCTACTAAAAAGATAAATAGGCTGAGAAAGAAATTAGGGAAATGATACCCTTCACAATAGTCACAAATAATATAAAATATCTTGGAGTGAATCTAACCAAGCAAGTGAAAGATCTGTACGACAAGAACTTCAAGTCTCTGAAGAAAGAAATCAAAGAAGATCTCAGAAGATGGAAAGATCTCCCATGCTCACGGATTGGCAGGATTAATATAGTAAAAATGGCCATCTTGCTGAAAGCAATCTACAGATTCAATGCAATCCCCATTAAAATCCCAACTCAATTCTTCACAGAGTTAGAAAGAGAAATTCTCAAATTCATTTGGAATAACAAAAAAAACAGGATAGTAAAAACTATTCTCAAAAATAAAAGAACTTCTGGTGGAATCACCATCCCTGACCTCAAGCTGTACTACAGAGAAGTAGTGATAAAAACTGCATGGTATTGGTACAGAGTCAGGCAGGAAGATCAATGGAATAGAACTGAAGACCCAGAAATGAACCTACACACCTATCGTCATTTGATCTTTGACAACAGAGCTAAAACTATCCACTGAAAAAAGGACAGCATTTTCAACAAATGGTGCTGGTACAACTCGAGGACAACATGTAGAAGAATGCAAATTGATCCATTCTTATCTCCTTGTAGACTTAAGTTTTTAATTAGCCACATGCTTCTGCAGCCTTGACAGGTAGCTTGGGAAACACCGCTCAAGAAAGGTTACCTCAGTGGTGTTGACTTGTTGTACCTCTAAAGCGTACAGTCATCTCATCCATACTGTGCTTCTGTGTTTGCCGAAATGCCAAAGGCCTTGCATATCAGTTAAGATGAACTGAGCACCATGCTGCTCAAAATTTACAACCACCAAAATCATGAGCCATATGTAGCTCTTTTCATTATACATTAACCATCATCAAACATTCTGTTATAGAAACACACAATGGACTAAGGCAGACGTAGGAATACACCTTCTCCTCTCTCAAACACTGGCACTATCTCCCACCAAAGAATAAAACCTGTTAGCCCTACAGATCATCTCACTAAAGCCCAAAACTTTCCAAATTTAGGACATGACTTTGGAAGGAGGAAAAGACAAAAGATCACAAGTATGTTACTGTGAATGATAAGCCATGAAACTTTAAGAGTCCTTTCTGTTTACCCACCAAGAACAACACATGGGAACATTCCTAGTCTACTAAGATGGCAGACCTCCAGGATTCATCTGGGCCATGTTTTCGCATAGAAAAATAACCTTAAATGGCTCCACTCTTGGTACTTAAAATGGACTTATCTTCCATGTTACTCTTTGGCCCATTTGTAATAAAGCAAACTTGAGAAATTTGCATAAGCTATCTGATAAATATTTCAATCTTTAAAGTATCGTTTCCTGTCTTACTCCTATGTACAAAAAAAACCCAGATTCAATAAATAAATTAGACTTTTAAAAGCATGTATATGTAGATACATAATGTGTATATTAGCCAAAAAACCTGTGTGTCTGTGTGTGTGTGTTTAGTATATGCGTGTATTATATGAGGCATTTTTCCTGTTTTTATATGTTATAAGTACCTACATTGTATTTCCCACAATATAATTTTAAAATACTGAGCTTCCTTTCAAGCCATCTATTAATAGCCCAGAATGGGCATGCACACATTCAGAGTTATGCATCCAACATGCTTTCTCTGGCTCAGTAGTCACAGCTGAGCAACACACTATAAAAATTCCTTGAAAACCATGAGCTATACTAACGTCATATCTCCATGTTCAATGTGAAGAACACAGATTGTTTTTAAAGTGAACCTGCTTAAAACCATGAGTAGAGTGCCAGTAAACACATCGCATGAGTTCTAATGGACGCTGTCCCACTTTCAGGCCCCTAGAGATTAGTAAAATTCGGCAATGCTTTAGGAGGACTTTAACCAATGTGACTCGTTTCTAATCCATTTGACAACTGTTTGACAGTTCGTTTTACGTTCATTCATAAACAATTCTTTTGTGATATGATGCTCTTGGGAAGCCATTTTACTTATTTACTTTTAAACTGACATGTCCAAGTTACATGTATGTATGGTGTGCAACATTCTTTGATCTATAGAACCCTACTGCATGACAATGAACTATCGAGACAATGGTGATCCTCTAAGATTGGGTTGCCTGGTAACTCTGTGCTCAGTTTTGCTTGTATGTGTGCACACTCTAATGTTTGCACAGCTTCAGAATTGCCTAACACTCATTTCTCAGAATGCACCTCTTTCCCTGGCTAAGCACATGCATATATATACATTGCCAGGTGGCTAACGCAAGATATTTAACTCTGCACTAATCTTTTTTCCCTTTCACTGTAATAAAGTGTCATTTGTGTTCAGACTCTGCTGAAATCACCACAAGTGCTGATCTGAAGAAATCTGAGCGACTGTGCACACACATCACAAGCGAAGGTCAGGGCTGTCATATTTGAAAGCCTTGTTCTCCTGAGGGACAGTAACTGTGATTCAGTAAACCTCCATACCTAAGGGAAATTATCAAGCATGGTGACCACATTCACTTCAGGAGACAACGTCTCAATATGTCCTTATGACCTCTAAAATTTTAAATCATCTTAAGCCTATGCTTCCAAAGGTGAGTAGTCAGCCGAATGCATATTTAAGGTGAGGTGACAGAGAGTCTTCACTCCCTGTTCATGAACTGAACCTTGTAGAGGTTATAGGATGATGAGTCTGCTAAATAAATCCCCCACCCAACTCATAACTTACAATAACTAACAACTTTCATTCTTCCATTTAACATCTATGGATGGCTCAAGTCTGTGTTTCATTCCATTATTAATCTTTGGGAAAGCCTCCCTGCAGCACAAAAGCCATGCTTATAAATTCTTCGCCATGTCTCTGCAAATTAAACAAAATATGCTTTAAGCTTGCTTGAATTCAAAGGTGCTTTGTGATTGATTTGCAAATGTGTCTCAGGCTAGGTCCAAAGATGACAGAGCTACTCACAGTAGCACAGCATTTTAACTTGGGAAAATCCTCATAGGATCGGGTACCTACATAAGAGCAGAAATGGGAGGAGGCTGTAAACTATATCTCATGAGATCTGCATGGAGGTAGGTTCCTTATCTCTAAAGGAGAAATCTTTCCATTTTTGTCAAGAGCATCACCAAGCAAGGTCAGTTGATAAGCAGCTGACCATATTCCTCCTCACTCTGTCATAGTCATCAGGTAAGGAAAAGCTTTTAGAATCAAACACTCATTATAGAGCCCTGGGGATTATAATATGCCAAAGATATCTTTGTCCGCAAAAGGCTATAAACACAGCCACCACAAGTATACCAAGTGAAAATAGTCATCAGCAGCCTCAGGCTATCTATACTGTGAGTCTATGGCAGAGGCAGAACTGGACCACCAGACATGGTCCAAAAGCCAAGGCCTCAGGGAAACCATGGTCTTTAGGGATGAAAATGTCACCACTGACACCACTGAGTTATTGATGTCTGTCACTAGTCAATATCTTTAAAATGGTTTTGTCTTTTTTTTTTTAATGTTCTTACTTTTCATGGGCTCAAATGAAATTCTGGCTGGGATGATACTGGGGCAAAAGGACTCTGCCACTCCACTCCCAGCCCAACAAATCAATGTACCTAAGTACAGGCAGGTTGTCTGTGCTTCTCTAAATATGATTTGGGGGACAAATACCACCATGCTGTGTAACAGTTTGTTGAAAATGCTACTTCTCATACCCGAACCCATACATACTAAACCAGAATCTCTGGGGACAAGGCCAAGTAGTACATTCGGTTTCATGTTGGTGTCTGTGGGGATGCACATGTGTGTGCACATGCATGTGCACTTGAGTTCACATGCATATGCACATGCGTGTGCACATGCACAGAAGACAACCTTTGCTCTCAGTCTTTAAGCACTGTTCACCTTTTCCTTGAGTCTTTGAATCCACCAGGAACTTTTCACAACTAGACTAGGCTGGCTGACCATCACAGGGATCGTCCTGTGTCTCTCTCCCAGTAGTGGGATTATTATCCAGCCACTTCATTCAGCTTAGTTGGGTCCTGCGGGTCGAGCTCAAGGCCTCACACTTGTCAAGAAAGCACCTCACTGCCTGAGACACTGCCCATTCCAAGTGATTCTGATGAAAAAGAAAATTTTAGGAATGATTCATTGCTCTATTTTCTTTTAGCGTCAAGAACTCCACTTTGAAGAAATGATGGTTATGTGTCCAGTAAATATATTTCCCATCATGCCCTACCACAAAGGAAAGCAAAGATGTTCATCGTTATAGCTGAGAGGGGTCTCCAACAGAGCAGGTTTGAAGGAGCCGGGTTCAACTAGGAGGGTTAATCCACAAAAAGAGACAGCATCGTCCTAGGCCTTGTTACACAGTCCTAGTACCTGGGTACCTGGGCCACATCATTCAAAGTCTACATATGAAAGAATAAGAGAGTTAGAAGAAGAGATTCCATAATGTTAGGAATACAGAAGAGACACGAGTGCAGTAACGTGATCTCTAACCTCTGTTCCTAGAGATTTACTCATAGTTATTCTCATTGTTTTGTCAGAGCCAATAGCTAGGGAACCCAAAGAGTGGATTATTACATGATCTCAAGCTCACATGCTACAAATTTCAGAACCAGCACACCTCTTTCACTAATTAGTTTTAATAAAACATAAGGTCAAAAATCAGCATCAGGAGATCTCACAACACAGTTGAGACTGTTGAAAGTATCGACTCCCAAACAGGCCATCATAAAATACATCATGAACTGTGAACAGTCTTGCTCAGTGAGGGAACAGCTCTTCTCTTTAGTCCTCTATAGATGCCATTGGGAGTCTCTCAGGGCAAAACAGAAAAAAAAATGAAAAAAAAAAATGGATGGCTAAGAATTATGCCCCAGTGACCTGCCATGGGGACTATTTTTAAAGACACACTTATCTCACCAGGAGTGACAGCAAGTTATTAGGTTAGGTACCATGGCCAGATAATCCTTCATGAGAGAGGCTGCAGACCATGGCTGCATCCTTCCCACAACCCATATGATGGATGGATGGGAATTGCCCTTGGTTGGTTAGACAGTCAGTTTAAGGAGCCATAAATGTAACGCAGAAGACAAAGAGCTTAGAAACAAAGTACAGTTAGCCTAAAATGACTACAGCCATTCCTATGCTTAAAAAGTTAACCAGATTTTAAGTTTACAAGATCTCTCTGGCTGTAAATGTGGATTCTAACTGTCTTGTACATTTCTTGAGTGGTAGCTATGCACTGAGGTCTTTTATCCCATTAAAGAATACTGTTATGAGGGATACATAACCACAGATTCACACAGTTCTCTCATGATCCTAGTCAATGCATTCCATATCACAAGAAAATGGAAAAGGACATTACAGCTATAGTTCAGAAAGTTTCTCATTATCAACAGAGCATTATCAGTTAATTCCTATAAAACACCGAGAGAAACATTAATACATTCTGTATATTTATATACATTTATATTTAGGGGAATCAGGGTATCACATCAGACCTGATGCCTCTTCCTTCCCTGTACAGAAAGTAATGGTGGTGTAAATAAAAGAAGTGGGGGCTAGAGAAGCAGAGCAAACACATTAGCCACACTTGAAGACGGGAAGGTCTCAAAACTTTCACTCTTTCCCCCTGCTGACTTACATTCCAGAGGATGAAGGAAAGATGGCTTGAACTGTCCTGGCATCTGAGTATTTCCACAAAACTGAGAAAACACTCAACATAGCCATTAGTTTGGTTTGGATTTGAGGAGGTTTCTAATAGGCAAAGGTTAACACTTTACAGCTCTGTGTGTGCTGCAAATAACACAAGCAAACTCTTTCTTACATTCAGACATTCCCCTGGCCCAGGCAAGTGCAACTCAGGATCCTGTCTCTACCATTGCAGAGGGTTCAAATGAACAAAAGCTGTTCCCTCAGCATAGCCTCCTGAGACTGCAGATGACTGCTGACACCTGACAGAGCAGAGTGTTCTGACTCCCTCTCCCCTTTCATTTCCACATTAAAGTTCCAACCTGGATCTCAAGAAAAGATTCCTTGGAGCACTGAAGAAATGAATGAATGAATCTCACACCTTTTATTTCCTATCGTGCATGCTAATGGCCTGTTTCAAAAGCCCTGAGCCAGCACCCAGAGCATAAAATTCTCATAGGTCCTAAACACTATAATAAATGTGCATTATGTTTTCCTTTGAAATCAAACAGGAAGAACTCACACTTTGAAGGACTGTGGTTACATTTCCCCATCCTTAGGCAGTTACCTGTCGGCTGTTTGGGTTTTTTTTTTCCTCTAAAAAGAGAGTACAAGGGGCCATTAAAATAATAAAATTTAAAAACCTTTCTTCCTGTCTTTTCTGGGTAAAAGGCATCAAACAACCTAAGAACCTGAGTTTCACAAACGGCCAGCATAGGAGAGAAAAGTAACTGCCCTACCAAGTTGAAGAAAAGTTCCCAGGTTAAAAAAAAAAATGGCATATGGCTTGCCAAGTACATCCTCCTGAAAGCAAGCAAGATGGCTACATTGAAATCGTGCTTATATGTCACCCATTTGCACCAAGTTTCCTGGGACCTTGAATGGAGAGTCCTTCCCAAATATGGCTAAAATTCTGGCAATCTCAGCAGCTACCATTTGTGGGAATAAAACCGCAAAACTGTTATGTACAAACTCAATTTACATAATCCCAATCCTCAAGTTTTTCTGACTAGAGCAAAACCATAATAAATATCATTCTTAATGTATCACCTCTTCGTTGAGCAAAGTTCAGGGCGCTTGGGAAGAAAAGTCAGTCTATATACATTTTGCTTAAATATTGAGTTTTTCTATATCAGAGTATCTTCAATGCTAAAGTGCCAATTTTCAAAAGGAAAATATGATAGGTGATACTTTCAAGTGCAAATATGTAGTCTGTTCTCTGAGCCCAGTATTTATGTGTTGACCCCACTCCCAACTGAGACAATCTGCTAGGTCACTGGGCTCCCAGAAGCTACATCGAGGAACTTAAGTGTTTCTTGTCCTCAACTTCAGTCTGCAATGCAAATAATATCTTTTGCACCTCATTTAGAGAAGCATATACTCCTTGCTTACTGTATGTGTTTACTGGAGTATCCTCCCCCTGCCTTGGATCAGAGAGGCCTGAAGTTAAAGCACAAGCTCTGGGATCCTAAGGATGGTTCTGGGCACCCCTAGTCAATCACCTGAGTTAAAAACGTATTAACAACTGAAGTGGGTCCTAAACTAGGGATCACAAAGTCCATTTCTCCTTCTGTGCTGTCCATGGTATCCTGTGGACAGTGAGAGGCAGGAGGTGTGTCTGTGCTGCAGTGTCCTGAAAAAGATCTTCCCATCTGTCTTTCCCCAGTGCGTTGCTCACATCAGGACTTGCTCTCGAGTCTCTGGCAGTCGAAGGGCAATCAGACCACCTCCAACCAGAGAAGCAGCAGCCAGAAGGATGGGGACCACTTTGGTTATCCCAACAAAAGAAGCAAAGATAGTGTTTCCCAGGATGGCGCCAAATTTACACAGTCCGTTGAGGATGCCAAAGGCTGTGGCCCTGCAAAACAAGAGGACAGGAAAGGATTCTCAAATGCTGGGCCTTGCTAGATGAGCAGCAGCATGTTCTATCTTTGTTGTAAGAGGAGGAAGTATGAGACTGAAGTTTTTACCCAAATACAAAAACACCGTTTTCATTTTAGCCAACACTGGAAATACTGAATGAAATAAAGATGTAGGCATATCTGGACTTATGGCCACTGTTAACATTTTGGATTACCTTCAAGCTTCTTTATTTATCTTCCCAAGCATATCTCTAACTAAAATACTTACAAGTTGTACTTGCTCACAGAAAAATATCCAAAGTGTGAGCACACTCTCTTGTGGCAATGACTGCCAGCTCACCCTACAATGCAAGTCCCCAAGTGTAAGACTACATTTCCCAGAGTCCCTTGCTACTAGCTATGTGAGTGTGACTTAGTTTGGGCCAATGAGAAAGAAGTGCACTTGGGAAATTTTCTGAGAGAGAAAATGAGCACGCTTCTACTCTCTCTTCCTTTATTATTTTTTTCCTTTTGTCTTACTTCCTGCAACAGAGATAGTCCATGGTGGAGTCCAGGCAAGGGAGACTAAAGACACAGGAGACTAAGTCTTCTGCTCAGACTGCCAATGAGGAGGCTATGCAACGCCTAATCTCCGATGTTTGTTTGGAGTTTCTGTCATCCATGGCAGAACCCAGTACCAGTTATTATCCCCAAATCACACGTCAGTGATAAACTTCAAGAACCATGCAGCCTGTCCTGACCATGGCTGTATAGAGCAGCATTTCTCACTCCATAGGGGTTGAAGGACCCATTCACAGGGGTTATCTAAGACCATCAACAAATACAGATATTTACATTCTGATTCATAACAGTAGTGAAATTACAATTATGAATTAACAACGAAAGTCATTTTATGGTTGGGGGTCACCACAACATTAGGAACTATATTAAAAGGTTGCAGCATTAGGAAGGTTGAGAAACACTGGTATATACGGACAGTATTCTCAAGATGATCATTCCTGGGCTGCAGTTAAAATATTTCCCGTTTCTATCAAAAGTTTAAGGATGCTGGCATACCTTTACAGTTAGATACTAGGTTCTACTATTTATACCTGATCAGCATGGTGGATTTATAAGCTCCAGCCCCAACCCTAGTCAGTCTGTGTTTGCTTTGTTGTTCTCTATCCCCATATGCTTGCTTTTCTAGATAAAATTTAAAGTGATTTTTCCAACTTTCCGGGGTAAGGGAGTCTCATTGAATTTTGAATGGCTTATTGTAATTGGGAAAAATTACAGGAAACTTGACATTTTTATAAGAGTAAATGATCTTGTCCGCGATGAAGCATGTCTTGGTTTCTCTTTTATGTCTTCTTTTATATTGTAGCACAGGTTTGTAGTTTTATTCATGTTTCAGGTTGATTTTTAGATATTTTATCATTTCCACTATTATCAGATTACTTCAACTGCATTTTTAAAACTTTTTGATATGGCTAAACACTTAGATGTTCTAAGATGCTTTTTCCTGATGACCTACTGTTTCTAAGTGTCTCTTCATTTTGCTTCCCTAAATTTCCAACCTGTAAAACCATATCCCATTCAACAAGGACCACCATCCTGTCCCTGCTATTTCTTTGACTCAAAGAAAGAGACTTCAAACACAGTATGCTAGTCAACCAAAGCTCAGAAGTTCTGTCATTGGCTTTGGGAACATCACTAAAATACTTTCAGAACTCCATTTACCCGTCCTCCATACCACGTTCATTCCTCATAAGCACTGAACCATTGTACAAGGTCCCCTTGATGTAGAGAAATACCTACAGGATAATGAACTTGACCCTTTGCTTTTAAACAAAGAGTAAACCCTGGCAGCCCTGAACCACTCTGCTTCCATCCACCATCTCTTCCTTCCTGTCAAGCCCCACCCTCCATGTTGTTCCAAAATCTTCACATTCTCTCCTCTGTTCCCATTGGCAGACCTGGGCTCAGCTACCATAAGGATTGCATGATACAGAAGGCTTTAGTCACTCTTACCGCTATGCTGAGACAGCTTACTCTTATCCTCTGGTTTTTGTCACTCACTCTTATCAAACCCTAGCCTACCCAGGTCCAGGCCGCTGTCACCATCTTAGAGAGAAAGCCCAGCAGACATTTGGAACATGGACTCCAAGATTCAGCAGGAGGTGGGCTTCTGAGCAAAGTAACTCAAACAAGTTCTAGAGGAAACCCCAAAGAAGAACTGACCTCTGGTTGGTGGGGTACAGCTCTACTGTGATCACATCCAGAGCATTCCAGGCAGCGATGCTGGTCCCACAGAACAGGCATTGCCAGCCGATCATCGCAGACTCGCTGTTGCCAAAAAACAGGAAGAAGCAGCAGACTGCAGAGATGAGCATGGAGCCGCCTGTGGAGACAAGACAAAGGTGGAAAGAAACATGAAGCCTGTGTCCTGGAGAATTTGCCCAACCCCTAATCTCACAGGCTCAGCTGAAGGAACTTGTCACCTGAGTTACTAGGTCCAACTTCCACCTGGGAAGAGCACAAGTGGGAAGAATAAAGTCAGACATATTTTAAATACAAATATATACAATGTGTATATATTTGACATGTACACACACAGAGTGAATATACATTAATATACAACTCAAAATTTAAGATATTTAAATTTAACTGCTTTTTTTTTAAGAAATGTAAAAAATAAAGAACCAGAGCCCACAGGGCTTACATTCCAATGTGGACACGTTTGTGGGTAGGCTACAAAGGGAAGATTCCAGAAGGGATGTTCTTCTGCTTCTCCACCTGTTCTGGTTTGAAATTTAAATGGCCCCCAAAAGTACATATATTGAACGAAGGGTTGTCCACAAGACAGCTATACTCAGAAGTAGAGTCTCTGGGGGGCTCTGGGCTCATAAATGGATTAATCATTATGGATTCATAGTTTAATAGCGTCAGAAGGAAGAGCTCCCTATGCTCCCAGGCCACCACGAGGGGAGCAGCTTTTCACTGTTACATTCTCCCTGCCACAATGTTCTGCTCTGACACAAACCCTGGAACAACAGAGGCAAAAAGCCATGAACCAAAATCTCTAACGTCAGGAATCAAAATAAATACGTCTTCCTTCTAAGTACAAAGTCTGTGGTGTTTGGCACAGCAACAGAAATAGAGCTAATACATCCCCATCTCCACCCCCAGAGATCTCTCTGCCCTCACACTGCAACCCCCTAAGAAGCTTGAAACCATTATAGCCCTGATGGGACGAGAGAGGGGCGGGACTGCTCGGTGACCACCACCAGTTTTAGAAGCTCCATCTTTGGCAATGGCTAAGTCCCTCCAGAACCACAGCTCCTTCCAGGTTATTCTTCCACTACTATTTGAGGCCCCACTGGGCACTGGGAATGCTGTTTTCTCTCCTGGTTCCTGACACTATGGAATGACTGCTACCTCCCACTTTTGCCAGTATCTGAGAGTCTTGCCTCCCTGGTTTGCCTCTCAACCCTGGCCACATGTATAAAGCTGTCCATCAACAATGTTTTTTTTCACTACGCCATTCAGGGTGAACTCTCTGACCAGGAATCCTACTGACAGAGATGATAATAAGAGATGCCATTTTTAAAACCCTTTCCAAACCCAGGAAGTCCATCCAGGGGAGTTTAGGAAGTCTTGGGTTAGTTCTGGTCATGACTGAGTGAGCTTCAGGCCTGAAAGGGTCTGGAATCATGTGCGGATGGGGCCAAAAATAGAAAGCAAAAATAGAAAGCAAAAGCAGTGAATCCCAATAAATAAGTGGGTGAGCTCCTTACCGCCATCAGGGCAATGGGAACAAGCATCCTCCTTGCCTGGAATCTAAATGCTTTTCTGACTCTATCAAGAAACGCCTTCCTGATGGGTTCTCACCCTGGAAACACACAGGGACTCAGGGCTGTAAGAACAGTGGAAAGTGTAAGCCTGGCTAAGGAGCTAGGGAAGGATAATGATCCAGAATACTGCCCCATCTGGGAAGGGGCGGGGCTGTAAGCAGACACTCCAGACTCTTTCTAACAGTCAGGAGGGAAGCATAGGGGAAGGAGGCTGGCATCTATGGACCACAAGAGTCCTGAGAGCAATTCCCTCCAAACACATGTTCTGCTCCAAGAGACCAATGTGAGGCTTAGCTAATAATGTGAGGCTTAGCTAATAAATTCTGACTGATAGAACGCCATTGTCAAATTATGCTTTGGTCCAGGATCATCCTCAATTCTGTGTTAATTGATGCGCATGGCCCTTTGCCCCTTCATTTCTATCATCCGGATTCCTCTTCTAATTAAGAGGGCTGAGTTCAAGTTTAAGCCTCACCACTTTCTATCTGTGTGACTCTGAAAAGGTCCTTTATCCACTCCTGCAGTGTCTCATTTTCCCATCTGTAAAATGTTAATATCAACAGTACCCACTCCGTGAGGTTTATGAAATGCTTGGAGCACAGCCTGGCAGACAAGCATCCCAGTGTTAGCTAAATGAAATCTCTAGTTTGTGTCTGTCTCTCTCAATCCATCTTTGGCTCTTTAAACATGAGGACGTTGATGGTCTCAATTAATGTTATATTCCCATAGCTTCCCTCACAGTCTGGCGCAGAAGAAGGACTGTATAAATAAATGTTTATGAAATGAATAAATGAGTGTGTGACTAACAGCTTCGTTATGAAAACTTCTACTCTGCCCTTAACAAAAAATGACTTCTCCCAGACGAGAGCCCTGGGGAGTTTTCAGGACAAAGCTGCAGCAGCCAAGGTACTCTGAGGATCACAGAAAAAGCTGCTTCAAGACAGCTCCCTGCATTCCATGGTGACATGGTGGAAAGGAAGCTTCACAGCGCTCGTTATGAACTGAGAATGTTATAGCTGGTCAACATCCCAACATCTACAAAAAGGCCTGGAGCCTTTCTGTAAAGATGAGGGGTGCAGAGACTGAGCAGTCATGACCTGAGCAGGCTTCCCCCTTCTCTTTTCCCCATATATATGTATTCGTGTGTGTATATACATATATCCCTCCCACCTCCCTCTCTGCCTTCCCCCACCCTCCTTTCTTCCCTCCCCTTCCTCTCTCTCCCTCTTCTTCTCTCTCCCTTCCCACATCTTCCCTTCCCTTACCCTCTTCTCTTTTTCTCCTCTTCTCGCCTCTCTCTCTCTCTCTCTCTCTCTCTCTCTCTCTCTGTGTGTCTGTATGTGTGTGTGTGTCTGTGTGTGTCACTTCCCCCTAACAAAGGTAGCTCAGTCTACAGTACCCATGAGACAACTTCCCATCTTTCTAATGAGATACCAGAGCCAAGATCACAGGCACATCCTGTGTTCATCATTCTGAATATTCATCTCTTAGTTACAATAATAATATCAAGTACAATCCAAACGCCAAGGAACATTTCTTCCCACCAAGACTTGATTTGTTTTCTCTTCTCCAATAAGATGACAATGTGACTGATTTTGTTTCCCTTTGTCTTCTAACACTGGGAAATTTAGTATTCATTTTCTCAATCAACAACATCCTGAAGGCACATCGTTAATGTCTTCTTTATTAATGTGCCTCCCTCCTATCTTCCTAGCACTGCTCTTGGCTCACATTTAGATCATGCTCTCACTGGCCCTCAGTGCACACATTTCACTCCTATTGACCCCTCACAGAGCTGTGTTTCAGTATCCACCAGTGCACACTCTGCTGGAAGGAGGCAAGGCAGATATGAATACAGCCACCATTCCAAAAGCCTACAACATACTGAGCGTTATAAGACATTTGGGCTATATTATGTTTAACCCTCACAAAATCCTCCCAGTTATTATTCCTCATATTACTTGGAAACTGAAACCCAGAGAAAGACATATATTCAAAATCAAATAACCATATGTTCAAGGATTTCAACAAGAGTCTGTCCAACAAAGCCTAAACTGATCATCTGCAACTTAAAATAGTTTTTATTTTTTATTTATTCACCTATTTATTCATGATTTTGTACACACAGAATTTCATCATATCTCTTAGCCCCTCTCACACTATTAAACAATAGAAAGTTACTATCAAATAAGAAAAATAATATGATTTGTCTTAAGCCATCAAACTATCATTAAATAGCATTTTATATATTTTCAATCATAATGCTATGAAGTAGGTATGGTAGATCTGTCATCATCATTATGGGATGCTGATAGAACATTCTAGAAGTAATGGAGAGCCTTGTCCCAGCACTCCAAGCCTTTATACGAAACCCTAGGGTTCTGTAAATGTGCCTCCTTGGTTTTACAGCAGCAGATCCAGCATTACCATGTGTAGTATTTCTTTAAGAGAAGGAAGCAAGCCATTGTGGCCAGGAGACTCAAATGTTCCATCGTGAGCAACTTACCAATCATCTTGAGTCTTCCGATTCTGTCCATAAGCAGGGCAGAAATTATGTTCCCGGGCAAGACAGACAGGCTGCCAAGGAAGCTAACGAGGTAAATCAGAAAATCATTGTCCTCTTCAAAGTCCATGTGACAGCCCTCCTTCTGCTCCAGAAAGGTGGAATTGATAAACCGGCAGCCAATGAACTTGTCTTTGTAGAGGTCTAGGGAGAGAAAGAGGTTTTGGTTCATATGAGATCATGGGAGCTGGGTAAAGAAAAGCAGGTGCATAGATGCCCTCTTTATGGACAAGCTGTGACCTCAAAAGTCCAAGTGATGTTTGACCAAAAATGTAATAACCTGCTCAAGTTCTCTATAATAAAGAGAAATGAACCTAATGCCAATTTTAAAGACATTTTTACATGTGTATTTTTGTGTGGTATGTGTATGTGTGTTCACATGTGTGAGGGCACATGTGTGTGAGCGCACATGCATATTAAGACCTGAAGCTGCTGGATACTCTTCTCAATCACTCTCCATTTTACTTAGTGAGGTGGGGTCCTTCACTGAAAGTAGAACTCACTTATTCCAGCTGGGCTAGCTGGCTAGCTCGCCCTGGGGATCCCCTGTCTCTGCCACACTCTAGTGCTGGGATTGCACACATCAGCCACACCAGCTAAGACTTTTCCTGAGAATATGAACTCCAGTCCTCACACCTATGTGGTAAGCACATTATCCAAACCCATCTTCCCAGCCCCTGAGAATCCTGCCTGTCCAATAATGTGACACAGGGGGCCATGCAATGACTGAGACACTCCTCTGAAGTAATCCATCTTAGAGAGTAGAACTTAAGAATTGGGGTTAGGGACTGGCAAAATAGTAAAGTGATGTCTGAGAAAGGATGAAGACCTGTGTTTGATCCCCAGAATCTACATTAAAAAACTGTAATCCCAGTGCAGAAAAGATGGGAGCAAATGGATGGCTGAGACTTGTCAGTCAGCCAGTCTAGCCTGATTGATGAGCTTCAGGTCCTAGTAAGAGACTCTGCCTCAAAACACAAGGTGGAGAGCAACTGAGGAACAACACACACACACACACACACACACAGAGAGAGAGAGAAACTGTCTACACACATGAATTAGGACCCACCTGATCTATCTACTGCAGACCCCAGGCAGTATCTTATCGAAAACCCCAAACTTTCTCAAAGAAAAAACTACTTGATCTGAAAACAATTCACATCTTCTGACACTATCAAAGAGCAACTTTTCTAGTAGAAAGAATGCTAACTAGGGAAGTCTTGGTTGGGATGGCTGACCCTATCACAAACACTCGTCTTCCTGAGCACCTACCTACAAAACCAAAGGTGTACAGGGACCAGACTCAGGTGGTAACGTGCCTGCCACACAAGCATATGATCTGAGTTCAGATCCTTATCCCCTGTGTAAAAAAGCTCCAAGTATAATAGCATGTTCCTATAGTCCTAGATTTGGGAGAGCAGCCACAGGAGGATCTCCAGAGCTTACTGACTAGGTAGTACAGTTGAGTCAGGGAGCTTCAGAGTTAGTGAGAGACCCTGCCTCAAAATGTAAGGTAGAGTGATTGAAAGCTATTCAGTATCAACCACTAACTTTCATATGTGCACACACACACACACACACATACACACACACACACACACACACACAACCAACCCTGTGGTAAGTATGCAAATGAAAAGCCATCACTTGAACTTGAAAGAATAAAAGGGTTGTTAACGACAATGGAACTTCTTATTTATTATCTTTTAAGATAAAGCTAAGAAGAAATTCAGGAAGGTGTGTCTAATAACAGATTATTAAAGACCAAATAGTAAAGCTTCTGAGGCTGGAAACATGAGGAGAAAAGGTGTTGTGTAAACTATCTGTTGTCCAAAAGGAGGAAGCATAAATAAGGACATGAAGCAAAGAGATTTTTGAGCCATCTCATTGAGAAATGGATTCAAGCTCCATCTCTTTGCTACCTGTAGCCTTGATCAATTGCTTAAGTCTGTTTCCTCAGCTCTAAGGCATGGATAATCAGAATACATTTCTCCACTGAGACCCCGATGGGCAGGGCTCTGGTAATACTCAGGGAGCTCCCTTGTGTCCCTGCTGCGCTGAGAGGTCGTTAAGCCAGGATGAGCACAGTCGAAGTAGCATGAGTGGTGGAACGGAGGGATTCCGTGCTTTGTTTCTAATCGTGAAAATCTGAAACAGTGTGATTCTAAAATGTTCTTTGTGTCTTGCCTTATGCACTGAGTCTGGACAGAGGTAGCAATTCCCTTTTGATTTATTACTGGTTTTTAAATGTGCAAGTTTTAAATTATGCACAGTCTCCATGAATGAATCAGGGCTGGAAAACACAGCCTTCCCAGAATGCTGGTTTTATGAATGTCATACTATATTGTTGTACAGCATCAGTCTCGTTCAGGTGAGGACATTTGACCAGAAGTTTTGCTTCAATTTATATGTGATTTTTAAAAACCTGAGGTATAGACTTACCAAATGCCAGAATGGTACCTAATGTATGTCCTCCTTGAGGGTAGAAGCCATTTCTCTCCCACTAGAGCTGAATCCCTTCACTCCTGCTTCAGCTCTGACTATGGTTCTAAGCCCCAGCCCACCTTTGTGTATTCCTCCCAGAGAGTCCTTCCTCTTACCTGTGTTGTAGAAGGTGGTTGATTCAATGGTGCAGTTCTTGAAATAAGTATCTGTGGATGTCACATCTTCAAAGTAGCATTTGTCAAAGAATGTGTCCTCAAAGAGGACATGCTTAAAGTACATCTTTATGAACCTGTGAGGAAGACAGCATCCCTCAGTGAAGGACCCCAGACGGGAAAAAAAACTGCTTGTGACCAAATGGAACACACATAAGGCCAAATTCAAGAACTGTGTGGCAAAGGTAGCAGAACATGATTGCAAGCCAGACTGCTGCCCCATTTCTGCAGCTGCTTTTCTGTTGGTGGCCATGGGCTCTGAGATCATGGAAGACAGCATCTGGTCCTGGTGTGCATGGAACAGCCTGAGCCGAGGGCATAGCTCCCAAATTCCAACCCATAGACCTTCCCATCGGAGTGGCAGAAATGTGGAAAGCATGAACTGGAGATATCACCAAACAGCTTGCTTTCCCATGAGCCTTGAACCGGTGCAGATCACCAGGCAGATGAGCACTGTCCTGCACAGAATATAATCAGTGCAGCTTCTTTGGATAGCAATTTTACAAAATGTAACTTGTACATTTCCTTTGACCTAGGGATTATCTTACATGTATTTGCTCATGTATTTAAAAAGACACATGCTGGTCTTCATAACCACATTGCTTATATTAGTAATGGATTACTGCATGCATTCAACCACAGGTGTATATATGTGTATACCTGAGAGCTATATAAATAACAGACAGATACCATGCAGGCAGATCTATATGTATAAATATGGAACAATATTTAAGATATGGCAAATGAGCCAAGTGTGTTGGTACTCTTATAATCTCAGCTCTTGGGAAAGTTGAATCAGGATTGCCTTGAGTTTGGGACTACCTAGTGAGTTCCTAGACACCCTGGGCTGCAAGGAGGAAGGGAGGAAAGAAAGGACTGATATATTAAGATAAGAAATTTAAATCAAGATATAATATAGGGTTGACAGAATATGATACATGTTTTCAAATACATCTTCAGAGTTATACCACAAAACAAAAAAAACAGTTGTGGGGCCTGGAATTGATATTAATAAGGATAGAAATTGGATCAACTTAATTTTCACTTTAGACCAAGGGTATGTTGGAGTTATTGTTTTGGTTTGTTTGTTTGTTTGTTTGTTTTCACTTAAAAGCATTCCATTAATAATAAGTGGGCAAGTCATCTGGATAGCCATGAGGTGCAGCCACATTGGGAAGCTGCTCAGCCTCAACTCTCCTGTCAACTTGGAAGGTCCCTTCTGAGCGTGTTGATCTCCTCTGCTGTATTTAAGCTGGAAGCTTTTGGATAAGTTCTCACTCATGAGAATTTAGAAGCAATTCATTCCTTCATACATGCGCACAGTCAATCTTTAGCCAACCCTTTCAGAGCATGGTACTAATACTCATAAATACTAGGTCTCGTCCTGTGAGTAGAGAAAAAAAAACAAATTCCCCACCCTTCAATCTATGTGACAGGAAAACCTGATGCTGTAAGCAAAGTAGACCACTGCCAGATAATGGAATCATGGGGACAGAGCAACACAGGGTGCTGAGGGTCACTGCTCCTCTTCAGTACCCAAGATGCTGCACTTTCTGGCCATGTGTAATGGCCAGTGTTCCACTGTGCAGTGCTCAGAGACTAACCTAGCAACAGTCATCATTAGCTTCTGCAAAGGGACCTCCCTCCCCACAGGGATTGCCCCTGACAACATCATCAGAATAAAACTAGGAAACTATTGTTAAATATTCAGTTTCCATTGCTGGACATGGTAGTGAGCACTTGTAATACCAGCACTGGGAGTCCTGAGGCATGAGAATCATGAGTTCAAGGCTAGCCTAGGCTATATAGTGAGATTTCATCACACACACACACACACACACACACACACACACACACACACATCACTTGAGGTAGAGTCAGATTATTATAGTTTCAAAGTTTGCTATAATTATTGGTCTAGAAAATAAAAATATTTTGTGGAGGAGAGCCTGCAGATGTCTACAGTAGGCAGGGAAATGAACCATAGAGGGGTGAGAATGAAAACCGGGGTCAGATTGACTTCATCAACCTAGATTAAGACTTCGGGAGTCGGATGCCAGGCTGTTTATTCCCAACAAATTTAAACAGTATTATTTGGAAGTTTCCTAGTGTAATACAATCCCCAGTGCACAAAGAAGTATAATTGCATCAAAACTATCTGTACTAGTTTAACATCCTAGGGGAAAATCTGGCCTGGTCTCAGTCATACAGATAGCAGAGAGCTCATTTGGGCTACTAACCACCTCTGACCCTGGCTTTGAGAGCTTGGGGAGCCCCTGACTATAAGGGTTATTTACATTACTAGCCACCTTTAGTCCTGCTTATAGCAACTTGACAGATAAAACACACCACCAGGCTATTAATCACTTCCAATTCCCAGTTTTCAGAATGGAAGAACAGGTTTTTATGTCTTTCCCGTTGGAAAGACAATCCTGCATGCTTACCATTCCTAGTTTCTCTGGAGATCTTAGGGCACAAGGCCTTTCATGCCGTGCTCCCAACAAATTTGAATCATTTTCCTTAGACACATATTTGGATGGACATCTAAATTCAAGCTTACAGAATCTGTCATTAACTTTCCAGTTTCTATAGAAAAACTAACTGGGACATGAAAGCTAATACCTGTCAATCCAACATGCAGGAGGATGAAGTAGGAGATTAGCTATGAGTTAGAGGCCAGCCTTAGCTACATAGTGAAACCCTATCGGGGTGGGGGAGAGAAAAGTTTGGTGGGACTTGCCTATCAGCACCCCAGCACCCCAGCACCCCAGCATCCCAGCATCCCAGCATCCCAGCTTCCCAGCATCCCAGCATCCCAGCATCCCAGCACCCCAGCTTCCCAGCATCCCAGCATCCCAGCATCCCAGCACCCCAGCATCCCAGCAGCCCAGCACCCCAGCACCCCAGCACCCCAGCATCCCAGCCTCCCAGCCTCCCAGCACCTCAGCACCCTAACACCCCAGCACCCCAGCACCCCAGCATTCCAGCAGCCCAGCACCCCAGCATCCCAGCAGCCCAGCACCCCAGCACCCCAGCACCCCAGCATCCCAGCATCCCAGCCTCCCAGCACCTCAGCACCCTAACACCCCAGCACCCCAGCACCCCAGCATTCCAGCATCCCAGCACCCCAGCATCCCAGCACCCCAGCACCCCAGTTTCCCAGCATTCCAGCACCCCAGCACCCCAGCATCCCAGCACTCCAGCACCCCAGCATCCCAGCACCCCAGCATCCCAGCATCCCAGCATCCCAGCATCCCAGCATCCCAGCATCCCAGCACGTGGGAGGCAGAGGCAGGAAAATGAGGAGTTCAAGTCACCCTCAGGTAGGAATCTGTGGCCAGCTTGGCCTATTCAAGACTGCATCACAGAAGAGGAAGGCATGGGGGAAGTAGGAGAAGGGAGGCGAAGAAAGAAACAGAAAACTAATTGGGGCAGGAACACGCCTGTGGTTCAAATATTGTACACCAGATGTGTTTACATCGGACAGCTATTCCTGCCTCAGTCTTTGCCTCTCTTAAGATATCCTTCTCTTTAATATAATAATGGGCTGGTGACACGGCCTTCAGAGGTATTTTAATATTCTTCCAAGGGTTGGCTATGAAAGCTGAGCCATAAATCAAAAGTGAATCTGATGCAGGCAGACCTTAAAATGTGTCTCCAAGTGGGTTATAAAAAGCCAACATTATAAGGAAAGATAAAAGGAGAAAGGACCAACACATTTTATGAGTCTCTCCTTAAATCATCTCTTCCGATATTAACTTATACACTGAGTCATCTCAGGATTCCTTATTTGGAAGATTTGGGCGCTAAAGCAGTGTGACCAAAAAACCAGGTGTAGTGGTACCCACCTTCAATCCCAGAGTATTATAGGTTCAGGGATAGCCTGGGCTATATGGTGAGATCCTGTCTCTAAGTACAATGATGAGGTTGGGGAGTGAGTTAGCAAAAGACAATGTATTTTTTATTCCTTTAAGGAAAGAGAAGCCACTAGTAATGCAGAGTCTGGGACAAAATTGTTATGACAACTTTGCTGAGACCAATGGGCTCCAGTGGATAGTTCCAAATCTGTGATTATACGGGCATCCCTATCTAATCCCAGTGGGTGACAAACAAAGTAGAAAGACTTGAACATGTGAAGAAGGGTTGTCAGAGGTAAGAGGGAGGTAAAAACAAGGCAGAGGGGAATGTGGGCTGAATGCATTGCATTTTATACGTGTGTGAAATTGTCAAAAAACAAGGTTAAATAATAAACTTTGAACTTTTAGAAACAAATCACTATTGGAATACTCTATTTCAGTCACTCTTAAACTCAACGCTTTGTCCACCGAGTGATATAAAGGACACCAGACTTATACCAATGCAGTCCACGAGTTTGTGGTCTGATGGTGTCACCATCATGAAACTGACTCTACAGAAAGAGTTGATGATTATAGTTGACGGAGGCTAGACTATCCATTCACCACCCAGGCTCAGAAAATACTGCAGTAGAGCAGATAGGAAGAATGTGAGAGATTGAGGATTGGGAAGAATGCCGTGAAATCCTGTCTAGGGGGCGTGACAGGGCTGTTGCGCTCATGAACTAAGAGCAGCCATGATTACTGACACAAGAGCAAGCCGACATATGCTGGCATAGATGGTAGAGGGGCTCTAGCTAAGGAGTTGTTGGTGGCTGTTGGGGGAGGGAGAATCATTTGTTTTCAGGAATACACCACACCTGTTAATAGGCTGTCCATGCTATGGTGGATGGTCTCATATCCATGGCCTTACCAGCAGCACTAATTTGATGTAATGAGCTATAAAATGAAAGAGGGGGGAAGAAGGGGAAGGGGAAGATGAAGTGGGGAGTATTGGTGGAGCCCAAGAGGGAGTATGAGTGAAATTACAGTTGGATATGATGAAAATTCCGTATATACATGTAGGAAATTCATAAAAATGAATCAAAAATATTCTTTTTTGAAAAAAATGCATTTGATAAACTCATCAGGAGAGGTTTCACAACAAAAAGAAAGAATTGCTGAAATTATACATAACTCAAAAGAAACTACCAAAATGGAAACACAGAGAAAAAATAAAGACA